AGAGAGAGAGAGAGAGAGAGCGCGATGGTAATGAATTGTGGTTTGGTCACGAACGCGACGCGATTAAACCCACGTTTTGTTTCGTTCGCGTTCGGATGAAGGCAAAGCGCCGAGAATTGCCACGCGTTTGAAAGTTCACACTGTGGTATGCCTCCGCAACATTAAATCCTAAATAGTTTTGCGCATACACGGCGTTTATTTAATGGAACGACAGTCGCCAGTTATAACACCTGTCGAGCTCGAATCATCGGATCCGCAATGATACGAGCCGAAATTTTACGATGTATATTAATATTATAAATTTATAACATACGTGTTGTCATGTACATCATGTATTTTACTGGACAATTTTCAACGGGAAAGTTGGTAACTCATTGGAGAGGCTGATATATAACGTAAAAGATTAATTCGACGGGAGAGGGTTCGCTTGTTCATCGTTCGCGAAATCCTTATTGACGCTTCGCACGTGCGAAAAAGAGCAAGTTATCCTTTTAAAATTTCATAACGTGTACCATCGTTAAGACGTATTGTATTCCGTGTACAAAGGCGAATGACGTGCGTAATCTCAACGGAATGGTTAAAAGCGGAAACTGAGGGAAACTGTTAAGTCTCCTGCATTAAAAGAGAGAGCTTACAAAATCCTTGATTTTTTTTTACAAGAAACATTTTTTTAAGTTTTTGAAAGACGCAATTACAATGCTATATAATTTGTAAGATTATTATAATTTGCATTTCTTACGTTATGACATCTACTTTATGTATAAAATTTAACCGAATTAAATTAAAAAAAAAAAAGTATCATTATGATTTATGACACTATGTACAAGCGCAAATGTCAATTGATTAATATTGACGCCTGCAAAACTCAATATGCATGATACGAACGTTGTTGGAGTGGCTCTGCCTCAGAAATGGAGGAACATAATTCACTTAACGCGAATTCGTGCTTCAACATTACCATGCAAGGGAGCGTGCGCAAATTTCGAATTGTTCGCCAAGTTCGAACTTGCGTGACTTCTCATCTTCAAAGCTGCCATCGCAGGACAAGTCTCATTATGTGTGAATCCCAAAGAGCCGGGTTGGCCTTTGTGTCTCTGGCGAATTCATCTCCGCACACACGTACGCGCCTCTCATGCGTGCGTCTGGCCGCGCGCATCTGTGCACATGTCGCGAGTCATCGTGTGTTGACGCACGTTGCACCGGAAAATGTCGGAGGACAGCCGCGGGCTGTGTCGATAATTTAACCAATTCTCGGCCCGGAAAAGTTTTAGAAAAGAGTGCTACAACGGGGCTTTTCGTGCTTTCGAAAAGAGAACGGAATGGGCGGAGGGAAACGAGCGAGAAGTTTTGCACCAGATTCTGCATAGGATAAAACAAGGAATAATCAAACTTTACGCTGACTCGCTTGAGGACATCGACGCAACATCGGCGGACGATGCGCAAAAGCCGGAATCTCGCGAAATTGAATAAAGAAGTAGGTAAAAATTGCTAGGGAAATTGAATGCAAGTGATTAATAAACTGTATGAAGTTGACCCCTACTCCCTCCCGCTACTGAAAATCCACTAACGACTACCACCACTCGATTGGATCGGTATTTGGTAGTCCATTCCCGATGAATGGTATAGTCAAAGTTGTAAAAACAATACGAAAAAAAGATATACGCGCATGAAGTTTGCCCCTTTTTTTGCAAAATATGGCTTTCCAGCTTGCGTAAGTAACCATAACTACAAGCATTCGTTTGGTGGTTGTTTACTAACGTTAAAACGCAAAAACATAACATGCAGTGAATTGAAATGTACAATTCCTAACACTTATTGTTAATTGTACAAGGAAATCGCGAAGTCAAACAGATTTAGGAACATTCGTTATTGCACGTTTAACTAATAATTATTTAATCTAAACTCATTCCGGAAGAGCTTACTGCACCTTGAAAGGCCAATAGGCCAAGAGGCCAGATAGGGTTTCTACAATTTATATAATTCCTGTTGTTAAGTTTACAGAAC